TTCAGTCTGCCTTCACTACAGATTAGAAAAAAATCTTGGTACAGCTTATATTACCTGGTATACCGTTTTCACCATGTAATTTGTTCTCTCGCTGGCTTCATCAGTTTAATTGCAATAAGCATTAGGCTGCATAATTCTACACTCATCTGCTTCTCAAGACTTTCTACTTTTCCGACAGCCCAGTAATACTATCTGTGTGTCTCTGTCTCATTTGTACAAATTTCTTTGCTTTTCTAGCCACTTACTGTACTTTGTTCATCTGGCTGTTATGTAGAGACTGTATGACTTTTGTACACTCCCTGAAAAACAAATCTCTCGTCAGAAATGCATTGTACCCAGCACAGTGGGTTTTGGTTAGGCATTACACCTAGACACAACCTTAATGAACATTCCAAGTGTGATGATATCCTGTAAGGTTGCAGTCAGTGCAAGTTCCTAATAGCAGATTGGTCCATTCTCTCCAGCAGGCTTTGGAACCCTAAACTGAGCAAACCGATCTACCCCATCAGGCCAGGCCAAAGTACTGTCTCCCCCAGCATCCCATCTCCAACAGTGCCTTGCAGCAGCCATTGTAGGAAGTTCATAGGACAGGATGTACTTTCCTAGCCTTAAGAATTCTGCTCAGCAAGCACCTGATCTTGACATTTTAAAAACTTTAAAGTGACATGGTAATTGCCAGGATAGAAAGAGTGGACTAACTGTTTCTACCAGGCCTGCACCACCTGCTTCAGGTGAAGCTGCTGTAAACCTCAAGTTTAAAACAGTCCTCCTCTACAGACATAATAGCTATGCATTGTCTTAAGCACCAATATTTGGCATGTTGTTTCATTTTTTAAAACCTTATCTTAGTATTTCAGATAATAATGTGAAAGAATGAGAAAGCTAATTCTTTCCTAGACCTATGGTCTAGGTTGCAGAATATGTTGAAGATGCGTATAAGTGTCCCTTCTGTAGTATTAAAAAAGTTAAAAGATAGTAATCAATTAACAGACTAGGATTACTTATACCTTAGAAAAAAAGGGATAGGTAATACAATGCCCCTTTATTCTCCCTTTTCACTCCATGTCCTGTCATATATTTATGTATTATTTTGATACCCCTGATGCACCATGCTATTGACAGAGAGGATGATTGCAGAAGGGCAACCTTTCCTTTATTAAGCACAGTTATCAAAGAAGCATTAGTATATGGATGTGGAAAATTGTGGGAAGTCTATTGCAATCCTGGGGCTGCAAGTGCTACTGAGGTCTTAGTGCAATAGCCCATTTTTATAGCAGTCGTGATATTCAGCAGCTGCAGCGTGTTCTGAATGTAAAGCACTGACATCCCATAGCCAGGGTCTAGGAATGCTTCAGTGCAGTTTTGTAATTTCTATATTTCTGGTCGCATCAGCCACGAAGACTGCAAGACTGGAAAGAGGAATAATTCCTACCCTCGGCTCTTCTGACCTGGCAGTAGTAGAAGGCAGAGTAGAACAGCTGCATCTCTGCAGGAGCTTCCCTGGATTGGTCTTTGCAAACTGAGCCTCATCTCAGAAAATTGTTAGCCTGAAGCATGTCGGAGGGGGAACGCGTGGAAGGTAGGTATCAAAACAAGCTCTCAGCAAAGTCGGTGTGAGAGAGGTACGGCCAGAGCAGACGCTCGCTTTATGCCGTCTCTGCCGCGTTGAGGGATCAGCTCCTGGCATCTGCCCCGCTCCGCTGCGAGTGAGGAGGAAGGCGTCCTCCGGCACCTCCTCAAGCCTTGCCTCGAGGGCAGTCGCTTCCCCTCCCCAAAGCGTCTCTCCAGGCTGGTCGCAGCCACCTTTGCGCGTCTCGTTTCAGGTCAAAGCAGCAGCACGCCTTTCGCGGGTTCTTCCCCG